GCTTTTGTTGTTAATCAATAATATGATTATTTCTTAATTTTTGTTGATAATTTTAAAACCTAATCAGTTGCATGTACTCAGTATATTCCTATCATAATCTCAAGTGATAGCATTAAAATTATTTCTTACAAGGTTGCAATTCTTTAAATAATTAAGGGCAAAATATTAAAAAAAGTATTTGTTTTATTTTATTTGTTCAATTATGGCTTTTTGATACTTATAGATCAAATTAAATTTTAATAAATGAATGCCCAATTCATAACTAAATTAAGATCAGATTAAAACAAAAATAAGATATATAATCTCATTCAATAAAATCAGCACATTACATTCAAATCCACCTTAAATTTACCACAAAGGAAGAAAATATTTAGTTCATCCACATAATTGAAGAAAAGATATAAAATTTATTTAACAAACTAAAAAATTACATTATAAAATCGAAGGTATGGCTTTCTTCTTGATATCCTAGTGCAATTTCACACTTTTTTTCTCTTTTTCAATGCACACTCTCACTCTCTAGCCTCACTCTATAGTTAAGCACACTCTACAAGTCACTCTCCACACTCACAAGTCACTCAACTACTCCCAACGATACTCTAGCACATCCCTATGTCATAGCTCCCAAAACTGTCAACTAACTACCAAGTACTTTTCAGAAAAAATTGAACTTTCAGAGTCATCGTGTTGTGCCACCACAAAGTGGTGTCACATCATCATCATAGGAGTCTTGCAGCGATCAATTATAATGTTGTGGTGTTTTGCTTTCTATCTTGATGCCTTTAATTTTTTGGGAGGCCAATGATTTCATGCTTCTTATTTAGCATTAGAGTGCTTGACATCTAGCATCAAATATCAAAAGCTAGCATTGTTGCTCTGAATTTGTTCGTAGTATTTGCTCATCACTAGTGTTAAGGTACTTATCCCTTTGTGCTACAACGCTATAAACACAGCATCTTGACACTTTGCTTTCAATTTCTTGCTTAATTTTGTTTCATTAGGTGTAGAACCGCTATGCTATCATTGAATTTGCTCCTTTATCATTTGAATCTTCTTTATATAAAATTATCTATTAAAACAAACTTAATCAACAATAAACATGAAAAATAAGCTTTTATTTAATATATTTTAACAATAAATTTTGTGCAATATCTCCCTCAACACGCACAAAGCCAATGGCTATTGGAGGTTTTATCCGAGATATCTGGAGAAATAACAATGGGAGAAAGATTGTTTCTTACTAAGATTTCTCTAAACACAGGTCTAAAGCCAATCCTCTACAATAAACTAAAGTGGTTCTAAAGAGGTTGCAAGTTTAAAGAGAAGAAAAGTACTCACTACTATGTGATTGAGGTCCGCCGCCAACTTGTCGACTCCAAAGGATAAACAATCGAGGAGAGCAGAGTAGGGGTGAGAACCAAAAGTCAAAGTAGGAAATGAATAGCTAAGAAGTGATCAAGAATCATAAGAGCCCAAAAGAATCAAAAAGCAAAAAGATCCTAAAGCTAGCCCAAGAGAGGGCTTAAATAACCCCCACTTTTGGAGATGGTGTTGCATACATGCATCACGAGGACGCAACATCACAATTCACACTTGCTATTGTCTTGAGTGGTGGAGCCAATGCATTGGTCAGTGGTGTTGACTAAGAAAAATAAAATTGCATGAATAATAAAAATAAAAATGAAAGAAAAATGGAGCAATTGATTTTATTCTCAAAAAACCTATTCAAAATTCCCTGCAAACTAAATATTTCAATTTCACTCTTAAAATAAATAAAAATGAATTCTTAGTTTCTTTAGTCATATTTTCGCACTCAAACGAATGAGCCCACAGATCAAAAAGATACATTGCCATTTTTAAAAGGTCAGCATGTTTCCTATATTTTTCTTATCAATGCAAAAGCCCAATACCATTTCCATCTAACACATCCTAAATCGAACACAACTCAGAATCCACAGGTTAACTCAAGTTCTGCCCCAAATTCCAATCAAGTTACAGTTGACATTTTGGTTAACTTGATTCAATCTGACATTGTTGTTTCATTGCAGTAAACATTGGTGATGTACTACACTTTCGAATAAAATGAATCATTTGTGAATAGAGGCTTGATAAAGCAGTTGGCAGCTTTAACATTTCACTGTTAACTGCAATTAGAACACACTAACCTATTAAATTCTAAAAATCTATACTTCAATGCTTCTCTCTCTTAAAAATGACAAAAAGAAACTTCGCTTAAAATATCAAAGTTTAAATTATTGCCTAAAATGTCAAATACGTTGTCTACTCAAAAAATTGCACCTACATGAATGTAGAATCCAGCTTTTTAATTCTCTATTGATCATCCAATTGGTAGAGGTCTGCTTCATTGCCTAAATGTTTTTTTTTCTATGAAAATTGTACCTATACCAGACAAAGTTTGATTCTTTCGGAAAGAGTTGAAAAGAATTGCTATTATACTGCTTAGGTTGTTATCATATACACTGGTGTTAGTTTTTTCTATGACTAATTAAGGACCTTTATATCTATTTGCACCTATTAAAAAAATAAATAAATTAAAGGGGCATGTCACAATGATAACGTGTCCTCTGATGAACATTTGTGTTGTTTGAAGACTCCTGCTCTGTTGCAGAATAGGACAAAATAATTTATTTATTTTGAGAAGGTACAAGTATAATTGATTGCTTCTAGATTTATCAACTGACAACGAAGGCTTTCCCTCATTAAAGGCATGCAATTGCAATTTATCATTCGCTTAATAAAATTATCTTATTAGTACGCGGAAAAAAAAAACCCTAGAGAAACAAGAACAATTTGCTCTGCAATATCACTTAAAACTCACGATCAGCAGAATTTTCAATAAAATAAAATGCATGCATGTGTTTAGGACGTTTTTATCATGTTTCTTGAGAAAATAGGAATAAGAATTTGCTTGTTTTACGAAAAGCAAACTATCAGTATCCAAGCTGCAACTGAAGGACTAAACCATTAAACTATTGTTGTTTAACAAAATCAGATTTTAAATCGGCAGAACTTTTCCGTGCAAGCAATGTCTTGGTCTTCTCCAGAACCCCAAAAAAAATTGAACCACCGATTCCAATCCACAATATTCTAGGTCCTATTCCCTGGAAAATAGAAATGCGAGGTTATAGACGATTAGAATTATCATGCAGTCCACAACAATGCATGCTTTGAAGTTGCAAGCTCATCCATGTAAACAGTCATGAAAAGCTAGCTCAAATGATAGTGCCTAGAAAGCACTGAAAAGGGAATCTGATTATTGCAAGGAGATCCAGTCAATACAGGTTCAAACATGATGAAGATATATGCAATTTTATCTTTACAAAATTTGAGAGTATATGTCCATAACTATTAGCAAGTCCAAGTTAGTGAAAAAAAGGCTACTTAAGCACTTTACATAGCTACCTACCATATGCAAATTACAAATCTACAATCATTAAAATACTAGTTGTGTTGTAATGAATAAAATGTAGGAAAATTTTCTATTTTAGTTTGTCTTTTCTTCTAAGAGTCCTAATTTTAAAGGTCGGAACAAGATTTGAAACACAGAATACATTAATAGCGAACGATCCGCCCAACACAACAAGTATACAATACAAAAGTGTAAATTAAATTCTTCTTTTGAAGCAAGAAACTATTATTTCATTATTACGAGAATAATGTAAACACAAATAAAAAGAAAAACAATGGTTCCTTTCCATGTTTAAAATTTGTGCAATATATCATGCGCCTAGAGGACAATAGAAAGGGGTACGTGAAAAGTGCCTCGAGTCCATCTCCTCAAAGAGGAAAAAGAGGTGTTTACCTCAAATTAGTGACGCTCACCATGAGGAAATTTTAAGGAGGCGTATAGCTATATTTGAGGAAGAAACTTTTGGAGAATGATGAAGATTTCTTGGCTATTCATGATAGGCCATCGAGTAACAAATGGTTTGTGGATGATGAAAATAGAATTTCATTTTCGTAATTACATATGAAAGATCTCCATTTTATTTTTTTTATGAAACAACAACAATAACAAGCCTTTAACCCACTATGTAGGGTTGGACACATGAATCCTTTTTCTTTATTGAATCCTATTGAGTGTCATAGTTTCATTTAATTCTTAATATTTTAAGAGTGTCGTGAACAAGACTCAAAAACATCATCATCGTGTTGCAAAAATTGGATAGCATCACCATTCACTCAAATAGCTCATGTTTAGCCTTGAATATGATTTTTGACAAGTCTTCTTCATATATTTGGGCTTGGTAATAAATAAATTCTACAAATTTATGAAGATTTTCACATGCTACATTTGGTTCACTAAATCAACCACTTTATATTGTGCTCCACCATCTATTTATATTGTACCAAATGGTAAACATACATTTGACATCCACCTTCTTTCTTTGACCGCATCAAGATCAATGACCTACACAGAATGATTTCTGGATCTAACAACTCAGCCACATACTTTTCCATCTCATCATTCTCATCCACCATACAACAACAACAACAAAGCCTTAATCCCACTATGTGGGAGTTGTAATAAATCCTGATGCTAGGCAGAGATGAGTTAGGGGTCAACATGCTTAATAATTCGTAGAGGAGTCAACATCCGCGGCTTTTAAGAAAAAGGTTGGTATTCTTCTATTAATTACTTTTGTGTCAACTCTTGTTCCCAATAACCACGGTCAACACTTTTTCTTTTCCCTTTCCATAGTCCTTCTTAGATTATTCTTGGGCAAATGCCTATGAATTTTCATCAAGCTTCTCTTAATGGACTGATAGCATAATGAAATGATGGCATATGTTTATCACCCACTTCATCTACAAACTAACACCATATCTAAAGGCTGATAGCTATTACTCTTATTGACAGCGTGATGACATCAACAGATGGTATTGCTGCAACCTTCGGTCGAAGATAGCATATCAATCTCACAATGAAGAGCATGGGAGAATAGTCTAGCAATTGTTGAGAGAAATCACTTTGCAATTTACCTCCATTATGAATTCCTGAGTTATGGCCAAAGCTAAAGAGGCACTGTTCATCAATCTACATCACATCCTTCTAATTAGACTCATCAAGTCCAACTTAATTTGACTTCCTAAGTTGATGATGTTAACCACTTCTTAACCAAAATTGACTAGTTGAATGGCTCTCCGCGCTCATTAAGGTAGTGTCAAACTTGACTCTTCCCTTTCAGCAAAACCGCAAGGAAAGACATGAATATGAATGATTGAACAACTATAATATTTGCTCTTTCTCTATTTTAGTAGTCATCTTCATTCCCATAGCATCATTCTTGAACTTCTCTACAAAGATTTTTGAACGAATTTCTAGTACTTCGCTCTATCATGCCCAACTCCTAATAATGATCATAATAGAGATTTTTTCTAAGACAAGTGGTAGTTCTAGAATTACCTTAAATAGAATCTTTTTTATCCTACTTCCTTTTAACCGTCTTTAATTTCCGTCGCTTCTTTTCATGAAGGATTTGTTCTCTTAAACTGTATTCTTCTTTTAATAGCTATAATAAACATGTTTTAGCTATTGTCTTTGAAGGAGAGGGCAAAAATTCATTAAAGACTAATCCTATACTAACATCCCAATGATGTGCCAACCATTAGAGTTTATCTGATTAACTTTATGGTTTATTCTTGCATATTTTTATCCTATTTATTTCATGAAATGTGACAATTCCTCAATTATTTATCTAATGCTTCATAAGGTATAACTCTTGGCGGAGCTGCTTCTTAAACCAAAGTTATATTGTAATGCCAACGCCTAAGATCAGTGTTCCACCACATTGTGCATGCTTTGTGAGCATTAGATGGGCAAACAAAACTTATCTTGATAAAAATACCAATTAATGCTAAAAAAGGTTTTATAGTTGATCCAATTTTAAGTGAAATGTGTGAAGGAAATAATAATAATAATAATTCGTTCAACTCAATCTATGTTTTCATTTAGTATCTTTAATTAAGTTGCTTTTGGCAAGAATTTCTACATGAGAAGATTTAAAACAAAATCCCAAAAATTTCAAAGTTATGCCCCGATGTTGCATCCATAATATTGCAGCACCACATTAAGCAAAAAATGACAAAAGAAACAAATGGTATAAGCTGTAATGCTAGAATGTTGGCGCTTCAGTGCCAACTATATGCACCATGGCGCTAAACAAACAGAAAAACTGTTAAAATGCTCAAGAACTCAATGTGCCTTGGCACTGGTATCCAATGCTGCAACACCAAAGGAGAGAAGATTTGAGGACTTAATACATAGGGTTTGGTGCCTCAATGCACATGATGGAAAGACGCAGCACAAGAAATAGCCTAAAATAATCCAAAAAAGATGTCTTGTTTAGCATCTCAATGCTAAGGTTGAGCATCAATGCTACAAGTGGCGATACAACACTAACTTCACTACATCTCAACGCCATGGCTTATGCATTTCAATTTAAAAATAATTTTAGAGTGGACTTGAGGAGTTATTTTGGTAGTTTTAAGGGAGTTATTTTCGCAGTTTTCATTAGTGTAATATTTTTATGCTCAAGTGTTGTATCTTCATTATATCTTCTATGAGGAAGAATAAATTGTAATGCTCTAGATTTGTGGTGAACTTAAACTGTTGTGTAATTTTTGTGTTGATGTATCAATAAAATCATGTACTTCATTCTTAATTTAATAGTATAAATGGCCATACAGAATCTTAAACTCTAGTGTGAGCTATAGATAAGAATCATAGTGGAATAATTAGAGTAAAATAAATGAAACTTAATCAGCATATACATCTTGGAGATTTATAATACAATAAGAAATATATTTCTTGTAGCCACTCAACTAATTAGTATATGCATATACTTAGTTAACAAGAGTGATTATGTTTCCTAGTTATCGACGAAAATTAGGAGACACTTATTTTCTTAATTGGCAACATATTCAGAACAAAATATTCATCAATAATTCAAAAATTCAGTCTAGGCAAGCAATAAATCCAAAGTTGTCGCTCTTCAATTTAAATTAAAAATTATTGTGTAGCTTAGGTCTACAAAATCTGCAGTTTTAATCATCATAAAATATAAACTATTGGATAAAAATATAGGGTAATTTTAATATCATGTTCTTTAAATATTTACAAATGAAAATATGACACTAAATAGGATGACACTAAATAGGATTTCATGTAGCCGACCCCACGTAGTGGGATTAAGGCTTTGTTGTTGTTGTTGTTGTTGTAGCTCTTTAAATATGTACAAGAAGATTCTTGTGGAAATAGTATTCTACTCACTTTTATATTAGTTGCATGACACATGCACACGGATATATTGTTTCAGCCGATTATCCATTCATATACCAATCATGTTAGTTTAAGTAGAACCATCAAAAGTAAGGATACCAATTTTGATTTCTACCTTGAAAGGTTGATCCACCCTCTAAAAGAATACACAAGATAATTGCCTACTTCATTTCTTGCTTGCCAGAATAATCACTAGCTAGTTGTTATGGTAATGATGAGATCTTTCGATATGATTGATCGTAGTTATAGACCGGTTCTTAATTCATGCCCTTAAGCAGACTTCGAGATTGGCATCACACTCTTAAGTTGAATGTGAAATTATTTAGGAAAAATTGATAAACTATTTGCTTTCCAATATTTATGTATTGTTTTCTTATTTTAACATGACTTGCTTAGTTTTGTATAGATCTAATCGGATAAAAGTTTAAAGAATTGGAAGAACCACATATTTAACCTTGAAAAGGGCAGCAGGACCTTCTTCCCTGATGATAGTCTGGGTGCAACTAAGAAGTCCACTATACTGATTTGTTGAACCCTGCAACCAATTCAGAACCAACCACATTACCTAAAATTCCCGAATTTTATCAAAGAAGATCAGAAGTTTACCTGTGTCATTAGCCTAGTCTTCAACACATCTAGTGGAGTGGTTATGGCTCCAGTTATAGCACCTAGAAAGATTAGAAAAAAGTTTAGAGTTTAATATGACAAAAGTCAATATAAATTTTCATAAAGAAAAATGACCATTGAAGAAACTCCACTCTATACTTTTAAAAAGTATGTAAAAAGGATCCTTCAATTGTAGGAATCATTGAAGGCAAAAGAAATTTATATCATTCTGTCCAAACTAGTAAATTTGAAATTTTAGAGTACGCATAAAAACTAGATGGTGAATGAACTAAATGCTTACTCAATTTTCTAGGCCCTACATTTATAAAATTGAATGTATAGGATTTCTAATGCAATGCATAAAACAAAACAAATCAGATATAGGATTTCATTGTTCTATAGACCATTAATCAACAATAATTGTCCTCTATTCCTGTAAACCAAACATTACGATATAAATGGCATATAATACTTTAATGATCCATTAAACCAAAAAAAATCTGAGAGAAATTAAAGCCACAAAAAACCACAAGTCAATCAGGATTCACGTAATTAAATAAAATCCAACTATATTGGAATTAAGTAAAAATCAGACTGGCTAACAAAAACCAATAATGATATATGTAGAAGAAAAAGAGTGCAAAGAAAGATATTACCACTTAGAGAAACCTAAACCACATGCCAAGGGGAAGAGATTGCAACCCAAAAAAATTGTCAGTTACATTTGCATGTGCTCAAATGAGTCAACATCAAACTAAGCACTCAAAAATTAAATACAAATTTAAATTTTCATCAAGCAAAAATTTCCCATTACATGCCTCAAATGTTTCTATTTATAAATATTAAAAAAAATCTTAAGTTGGTTGCCTCCAAACTGGATCGCTTTACAGGAATAAAAAATGGAATAGAACCACATCCACAATAGAAATCCTGCAACACAAAAGAGATGGAATAGTCGCACGTCTCCATCATCAACATTAGAAATGCTGACAGCAGACACCAATGCACAGCTACAATATGAAAATTGCCCACTACAGGAACAAAGCTCAAGGAATCAAACACGAAGCTGTGCCTGCTGTACAAACAAAATAGTGAAAAGTCACAAGTTGGTTATAGAGTTTACCTATGTGATTAGCAGGACAAGGATGTTCCCCGCTAATCAACTTAGCTTGAAGGAAAAACAAACTACTCTGACTAATTAAACATTTGATATTTATTAATCAAATCAGAATTTGCGCAACAGAACCTACGAAACAGCCACAAACTGGTCTATCAAGCGAGACACAAAATACATCTAGAATCCACCATTAATTGTGGATATATTTCTATTATCTAAGATAGCTTTAAGAACAAAAAGATTTAGAATTATCTAGCCTAAAGTTAGATATGAATTAACAAGGAGGAGGTGAAAAGAAAGAAAATTTCAATTAAATTCTAGGTTCATAAAATGAAATCAAATCGAACACATCGAAGACTAGACTAATGCCTGAAATTGCTAGAATCTCCAAATTGTAATTTATCATAATCTTTTTGCATGATTTAAAATGGCCTAGCGTTTCTCATATTTAACTTGCTAACTACCCATCCAAATGATTTAAGATCTCACATATACCATCACGTATTCATGTTTAAATTCCACATACCACCACTTCACATTACCTGCAAACACAAAATTATCACAATTCAAAGTCAACTTTTCTACAAATATCCTAATGGCAATTTGACAAATCATACTGGTTATATAAATAAGAAATGAAAAATACAAAATACTACTATTCATTCCATGTATAATAAGAATGAGCTAGTAGTAAATTCTGAAGGAAAAAAATAAAAAATTTTGAAGAAAGCAAACCACAGAACTAAGATTTTATATATATTGATGGACAATCTTCTTAAAGAAAACTAGCATAAATAACTTATATATTAGTTTTGGTAAATTACGCACTTTTAGAACTAATCAGATGAATGAAGTTTAAAATTTCAAAATTGTTGAGACATTTTTGAACAATAAATTTCTAAAAATACTGATGCAATTTAACTCGGTTCATAAGATACTTTCTAAGAATTGATATGAGCAATAAATCCATAAATATTAAATCAACTTTAGTTTGAACAGTCATTACAAAAAATATAGCAGATAATTCATTGAGTTGCATTTTTAGCGTGTTCAATCAATTCATCAACTACAATAGACATGATTGGTCTAATTTCATATTTGAAATAAGCTCAAATTCTAATGTAAGGTTAAGTTTGTATATAATCTCATACTCAATTTGTCTTCAAACACCAATTATGACATTTCATGCAAGAATAAATTCAGGATTATAAACATGATCTATTGTAGGGGCAAATTCTTATACATCATCAAATATATGTTCATATTATACCTACAACTCAATTTAAACACCAAAAAAACATCAAATTCATATTCATGAACAACAATTTCTTCAATAAGATTGGATTAAATCATACATGATTCTTGTACTATATGCATGATTGGTGGTGTCGTAAATAAAACTAAATTTCATTATAGTCCCTATACTATTTATATATATCCTTATAAGTCCCATAGTATCATCACTCTCCATTTTTTTCTTCGACTACAAACAATTAATCCAAAATGGTCACAACAACAACAACAACAACAACAACAAGTCTTAATCCTAATAAGTAGGGTCAGCTACATGAATCCTTTTTCTCCATTGTGCCTATTGAGTGTCATATTTTCATTTAATTCTAATAGATTAAAATTGTCTCACATAAATTTGTGATGGAAAACTAATCCCAATACAATCCTTCAAATATATAACTTCATTATCAATTTAGTCCGCAATGGACCACTTTAGATTAATTATGTATAGTTGAGAAACTAAATTGGATGAATGTAATACCAAAAAAATAAATTAACCACATATGAATAGTTAGCCTAGAGATAGAATTTATCACATTATACATACATTAATACAACACTAAACTTAGGAGGTATTTGATTCGTTGCAAAAGAAGCGCACTAAAATCCTTTAGCAAGAATTTCAGAAATTTGGATGTTTGGCCAAATCAATTCCAAATGCAGTTTAGAAATACAAAGTAATTGTAATTCATTATCTAGTTCATTTTCAATGTATTTAGAATTCGTCGGATTTAAAAGACTTCCCAATAAACTACTTTATGTGAAAAGTTCCTTGTCATCACCGCCAGCCGCCTCTACTCATCAAACATTAGCAACAGCCCACCATCACCACTATCACTACCCGTCCACCACTAACCGCTACCACCCACTCTGCCTCCGCCACCCTGTAGTTGTAATTTTTACATTGATTCTATTTTTCAAACAAAACAAGAAAATGTAAATGACAGTATTTATTTTGCGTTGAACCAAATAACTTTAAAGTATTTCAAATACAATATATTACTTTTACACTGCATTCATCTGACATTGCATTACTTGTTCAACAAATCAAAGAGCCCTTTAGTTTCATTAACCAATAAATTACTTAACTTCTCATGGTTTATATCAAATGAATGCTTCATTAAGAGGCATTATAATATTTATTCCCTAAGCCGTAAACAATTAACCCCAAAATTACAAACAGTATTCTTGCTCTAAAATAATAGAGCCACTTCTGCAAGCAAATGTTGTCAATATATCAAGCATCATTAATTATTATGATTAGTCACATAAATGCACACTATGAACCAAATTTAGGACAAAATATTGCCAAAAAAATATTAAACCAAGAAAACATCAGCCCACCTACTACCTAACAACACATCAATAATTCAGTTGCCCAAAATAAGACAAAGAAACCCATACTTCACTCTTCCTTTAGGTCGAAGAACAATGAATGATTCCATAAAAACAAAAGTGACATGAGCGCTTCAAACACCATAGCTCCGCCCAAGATTGCACAAACCACTAACATGACTTTAACCAAGCGATACCATTGGCTCAGATATCACTTCTAATTTGAGGAACTCATAATAGGACAGATGCATTAACTAACTTGACATTAATAACTTTAAAAAAAAAACCTGAACAAACTTGGTTGATAACTGATGTAAGACTAAACCTCAAGCACTTGAACTTCAAAAGGTTCTCAAAGTGAAATCTACTAATATGCTAAAACGCCAAAAAAAAAAAATGTATTATGTTTAAAGTTTTATATGACCAATTTCCATTTTTTTCCAGAAGGCTTATTAAGCAGTTTATGGTACCTTCCGTGAAAATCTTAAAACATGTGTAGCATGAAAAGTATCTATTTCACACAATATAGAAAGCATGGCGAATGACAATTTCAACAACACTTAAAAAATGATAAAACAATCATTGGAAATTGTTAGAGATGATAAAAGTCAATCTTATCATTTAATATATAAGTAGATATCATGCCAGATGTTATATAACAAGAAATTTAAATGGCAGAATAAAGTAAATTACCAGCAAATGCACCAATCACAGCAATCTCGTGGTCAATTAGCTCTCGCTTAGCCTACACAGGAGAAATAAAATGATAATGAAGGAGAACTTACGCATCCACTATATTCTTCTATTTGTTTAATTGGCACCCATGACTACAAAAATCAATTTATTAATTCATAAAAAATAGCCACCAACCATATCCCAGCTCTAAAAAGTTTGTATATATTCTAAAAAATTGCATGCTGTCCCCACAAAACAAATAAAAGTAGGATCAGTAGCTTACTGCAACTCTATAGCCAATTCGAAGCTGCTCATAGATACAAAATTGAATTGCATCAAAAGGAAGATCTCTTAAAAGAAAGGAACCATATCCCTGCAATATGACAATAAGTTCTAAAGGAAAGGTGGTAAGAGGGGTCACAAATTTTATTAAAATCAGTGAAAATTTTGTAGACAGTAAGGGCATCAAACAGCCATTCATGCTCGCAGTCCCTCATCCACCAAAACTATGGGAACCATAACACTAAAGTACATACCGCATATAAGCCTCTAAAACCTTCTTTAGCAACAATAAGCCTAACAGCATCAGGAGCTGAAGCAAATTGCCTGGTTTGCATCCTTTGCTTAACTACCTGAACCAAAACATGAATAATCATGAATGTGAATTGAATAAAACATGCAGTCCCCAAAACAGAGCTTGTACTTACCTCCGTAGGCACCCTAATAAGAGAAGATGCAGCTCCACCAATGGCACCAGCAGTCTGAAATAAGATTCATCATATAAAAATTAAATATTCTCAAGGCAGCCAAGTATTATTCTTCTTCAATTTCTACCTTTTCCACCTAACAGGATTAAAAATGCATCTTCCTTGATTAAGAAGATTGCAGACTCCATTTAAAATAAGCAAAAACACTACTCTAGAGTGAGCAATATAATATAAACAGATGATTCAAGCTGCTTCATGTCAAACTTTGGAATACATAAGCTTGTAAGTCTAACAGTAAGCAAATCTGAAAGCTGCAATATATGTGCCATGTAGAAAAAATTAAAAAAAATTGTAAGACATAGGCTAACAGTTCTGCAGCAATGGATTTCTACGAAAAACAAATAAATACAAATAACAGAATTACCTTCATGATATTATAATTTACCACACGAATTTACTAAAATAGAAGCTATAGAAAAGTTAATGATCATCAATAGACCGCATAACAGCTACATGAGTAAGAAACTGTAGTGGCATAACTTTAATTTTGCTTTAAAGCATCACAAACTTCTAGAGAAATGCCACTAGTCTACTCAAAAGAAATGTTTAAAATTGTGTAATTGGGTATTGATGTGTTTTGCAATCATGAGACGAGGCATAAGCCTCAAGACGGTCTGAGGCATATGACACACAGTTTGAAAATTTAACTCTTTAAAAACAGTATGCATGATTTGCCATATAATGAACTTAATTTCTTCTAAAAGTTCGTATTCAAATAAAATTTGATGCTCAATATCGATCTTATCAATTTTCCACAGATATAATTCAGATATGAACATGTTCTAAAGTAGGTGCATATTTAGATTCAACAAATTCAATAGCCAAGTCATTGTAATAGTAAATCTACTTCAGCATCTATTCCAACATCAAAATAATATTCATGGCATGCAATTTTTCATATCAACAAACCAAACATCTATGAGTTCGTGTTGATGTGTTGATATAATTTAAAAGATATGATACCGATTTTTCTTTTGGGATATTAACCACAAATGTACCGAGTAGTTGCAATATTCATTAATATATAAAGCCTATGCAATATTTTGATGAATTCTACTTTATTTCAACTCAAATTTCAAGGCTTATAAATGAAGCAAAAAATTCTTACACAATAGCTTAGAGACATAATAATTAGCAAAAAGGCCATAAACCTTGCATAATAACCAAACTTGCCATAATTAAATAGTTCACAATATCAAAATTGAATACGCACCCGTTACTTGTTTTAAGTTGATAGCAAATATTACTATTTTAGTTTCTGTTTCATGTTAGGCCATTACTTCACAAATAATATTAATTATGTAGATTAATTTACAAATTCAGCTATTTAGGAATCAATCATATTATAACATTTGAAGAAGTCTTTCAAATTATCGACTCAATTTGAAGTCTTTCAAATTATCGACTCAATTTAAAATTTTCATAAAATTATGCCTCACATCAAAAAGGAATATTTTTCTAAACTTCATGATGGTCATGTTGTAGTTGTCTAGTTCCATAGTTTACCTGTTTTTATTTATATTGCATCATGTTATTAATATTTTGGTGGACAAAATTATTTTGTCCTGCTTCTAATCGACCATGAGAATTGAAATCAAATTTGATGCGTATGGTCTAAGTTTTTCAAATGCAAGTCCAAAATGAAATGCATAAAATTAAGCAAATAAGGCCAATATCAAAGTTCACTGAACATCAATTTAAATAAATGTTTATGCCTGTTGATGGAAACCAAAACATACACAAAGTTTGTGTAACAAAAATTTTAAAAATGTCTAACAGGAATTACAAATAAAAATTCACGATTATTAGTGAATCACTCATTCAATCAAAAAACATACACCATAATAAAAAAATGGATCATCTCAAATTTAATAGAATATGAAAATGCAATCAATCCAATTACTAAAATAAGGGAATAAAAGAAAAAAAAGATAAGTGAAAATTTATATAAAAGACAAAACATTGGAACAAGTAAATGACTACCCCTAAAATTTTGGAAAGCTAAGAAATTGAATCAATCAAAAAATCATTAAATCAAAACAAAACTTAAGTGGAACTATCCTTTGTGTGCCACAAGTGCCCTTGCTTATAATCATATTATCTCACCTCAAGTGTCAACAACTATCTAAGTAAAGCGAACAGTCGCAATTCAATGGCCCCACAGCTAATAAAAATCATAACCAGCTACAACACCTGCTCGTATATCAGCTATCTTGTAGGAAAAATGGGTCCTATTTGCTGATATACGAGCAGGTGTTGTAGGAAAAATGGGTCCTAATAACAACTACAGTAGAGAACAGACAATTCACACCAGCAAGGAGTCACTAATTACACCAAAATGAACATGAGACAACAACTCATGGAAGGAAGTAACTCCTGTGTTGCTACAATCCCACTCATCAATGCATTTGGCGTATTTAATACACACTGCAAAATTCCACATTTAAATAAATTTGGCTAAAAAAGTACTAGAAGAGCATAATGTACTACTATAACAGATGAGCAAAATGAATATAAAGCACAAAAGCAATTATAAAGGAGTTAAAATAGAAATAATGTCTAGAACCCATGCAACGTACAATGCAAATTACATCACAAGCAAAGAAGAAAAATAAGGAATTTTTCTAGTTCAATTCTAGGGCCTATATATGAGATATGTTATCTTACCAGATGGGCAAAAGCACTGAGGTTCTCAGGAAATAGTTTGAGCAATTTCTGCTTGGAAGGTTCGTATATGCCAACAAAAACAGCCGATGCTCTGGAAAATAATAGAAAATAAAAGTGTAAACAATACATGAGAAAAATAACAATGTAATCAACACAGAGACCTTCGAAGCAAAACAAAGAAAAAGTGCATCCGACAACATCCACATGAAATTCAAAGAAAACCAGAAAAAAAAACAACCATTTATGGATTTAAAAAATATTAGTAATAAGGGCAACAAAATTTCTTTATATATCCTCTCATAGCACTAATTTTGTCATTATGCCATTATATTTATATCATAGATACAAAGACGCAAGGAAATCATAGATGTCATTCCTGATCAACAGTAAATCAAAAGAACAAACAAATGTATGCTTAAGTTGCATGCCTCAACTGCTGATGATTTTAACTCCCATGAAATGAAAGAATAACAACAAAAAATTGAAAAAAAAAACACTCCCGTTATTCAACATAGGTCAAGCAGACCACAAAGTAATTTTGAAAGCAAGTAATCAAAGAATTAAATAGGTGAATTACTCACGGAAGGACACCAACAAGGTTACCAGCTAATCCAGAATAGAGGCCTTTCCAGTGTATTTTGCTTCCACCATGAGCAGCCTAAACATAAGAGGGTGCAAGAAAATGAGACGTAATTATCAATCATGAAAAATGTCCATAAGATAACACAAATATAAATGCAATGCATAAAATATAGTGCCAGTAGTTGACATTCTGGTGCTCTTACTATCAAAATGGGATTGAACTGCAAGATTAATTTTTATGGTGAAATAAGCAAGGGCAAAGAGCATGAAAGACAAATAAATGCATTCTCTCCAAAAGCACATTAGAACCAGCAATGATCTCTCTCTCAAAATGAAGAGCAACTCTAATGACAAATCTTATATACCTTTTCTATCAATAGCATCTTCCAATAGCTTATTTTACAGAACGATTCTTAAAGTTTTATGCATCTAATAAAACAAAAATGTATTAATTACCTGATAAATGAAAAGTCCGACATTATTGAACATTGAAAAATTATATATCATTGAACTTACATGTTCAAATAAACAGCATATTTACTTATTATGCGCCTTCAAGATATCATCATAAAAAACAAGTAAATATCCAAGGAAAATAGTAAGCGTAATAAGAAAAAAATATTTTCTTCTGAAGTAACTTGCCTGTAATCGAGTTTTTATTGTATCAATCGGATATAGGATTGTTTCAACAACAACTCCAGCAGTTCCCCCTGCAATTATTCCATCTAACAAACAAAAATATATTAGTTATGTTCAAAAATCCCTTCTATATTAAGTTGATGAATTACCGTAATCTACAGTTAGTGAAAAAGTAACAATACAAAATATTTGAATACCCAATGACTGACTAGCCACTAGCTCATGACGTTACTATGACAATTGACTAGCATACTTTCAATATAGTTCTAAGAATATTATTATAGTCACCAAATGGTAAAGACATAAAGCAGCCACGTATCAGGTAAAAATTAAATTCAATAAATTAAACTAAGAATAAGGTGTGTTAACTTTAGAATTAATAATTATATATAGTGAGCCCCAAGATCTAGTGGTGTAAAATTCACCATTTACAAAAAATATTCACATGTTAAGTTACCATGAAGGACTCTCCAACATAATTGCAAGACCTACATTTAGAGTCCCCCGACACTTTGGATTGCAAGTCATTTGACGGTCCTCTCAAACATCAAGAGGCATAAGTATATACCTCCACTCAACATCAATAAAATGATCAGCTAGAACTTAATCACCATATGTGACTTGGACCACCTTGTCTACACGATGAGATCATAATATTCATAATTGGGAAAGCATCTAAGCAAGAGGTTATAGGACCCAACTGTACGCCTTTAAAATATCAAATAGACAAATCCTACCCCTAGGTAGCCCTAATAGCAGTGAAGTAAGCCCCAACCCTCGATCTTTGGAACCTAATAAAATGATGTTCATCATGATGTTTGGCTATACATTTGCATAAAGCCTTCAAATCCCCTTATGATGAATATTCAGATCTAGAAAACCTTACTTATGGGGCGATGTACAGCTATAGGCCTCTCTACTATCAAGAGATGTAAGCCTTGGCCCTCAATTAACATCAATATAAAATCAATTTGGACCCAATTAGCACCCAAATCATCATATTTGGGTTGGGAACTAAATGTATATGTCACACCTATATCTCGAAGTGGAGCTATTACCCTATAAGTCTCATATTTAACTTCTTATCAAGACATAATCACATACTACCACATGAGGTTGTAAATCCAATAGTACCACAGACATCTCAAGACAAAGTTGTAACCCATAAGTCCCACTTACAGAGCCACTCTATTGTAAATCATAGCCTCCTTAAGTTGGAAATTATCTGCCTTGGTTATTCCGACACTCACAAATATGAACATCGCTTTACTTTATGCTTAAAAGAATGCCTTAAAGCGAGCCAACTTGATTTAACTTGCGACTCCCTAAAAAAAGTAACTTGTGGATATGCCAATTATCACTGTAACATGATAAATTAAAATGCATAGTAAAGGATGGGTCCAAGAAAATTAAGTCTAGCAAAGAAGATGCCAAATTAAATAAAACACTCACCTCATAGCCTTTAGGATGCATTCTACTTAGATGATCCCAAACTCATCATCAAAATTCAAACTAGAGGATAGGTCCAAGAAATTAAGTCTCGCAAAGAAGATGCCAAATTAAATACAGCTCTCACCCCATACCCTTTAGGATGCATTGTACTTAGATGATCCCAAACTCATCATTAAAATTCAAACTAGCTAAACTAATGGATAAAAGTAACTGACAAGCATGTATGGGAGCCTCCAACTGCCTCTGAGCCAACCTCAAAATGAATCTATCAAGCCTAATGAATTGTAACATCGAAAGTTACATCCTTCAACCGCTAAATCATAGTAAACCATATTGGCTCTCTTAGAACATTCCTATCCACGACAAACTTAGCGCTTCACTCTAAAGAGATGCACCTTTTAGCATGATTCCACACTTGTTTACTCATGATAATTGTTAAGAGGCAGCTCATCAGAACTAATTAGACATCATAAACAATGTAGCCTTTCAAGCCACCCATCTTTGGTTTATTTGGTCCAAAATATTCACTACTGATAAGAAAATTATGGGATCATGATCAAATTGACTATTCTTCCCCATCCAATCACCCAATATAAACACAATTCAAAGCATGGTCATAACATTTATTACTAGTCCTCTCAAACATGAACCACGAGATGTAATCAATCATAAAGGCTTGCGTCCATGGGTAATCAAGATTAATCATAATTAAATTAAGGAAAATTTACATACATAGCACCTAATTTTTTTGTATTTAATTATCTCATATCCAAGCTTTCATATTTACATACATAGCATTTTAGTGCTTTAAATTTATGCATGAAAAGGTTTATTTCACTTTCAAAAATGATAATACTGCTATATTTGATGTGATGTTAAAGATTTAAGTGCTATGTGCGTAAATATGTAAGTTTAAGTGTGAGATATGTAAATACATAATTTGTTATGTATGTAAATGCCCCTTAAATTAAACCTCACTTAACAACATTAGCTTGTCTATGAAAGTCTCTAGGATCTTATCCTAGTCAACACTTGTAATTGCATGGTGTTCAACACTGATTTCTCAAAACTCAAATAGAACAAGAAGGAGATTGCACTAAAAGCTCGCGAAGCAAACAAAAAAGAAAAACAGGGAGAAGCAAACCTCTCTGCTTCTAATATCTATAAATGGATAAGGAAGTCAGTTCCTAATCAATCACAAAGGCTTGCGTCCATGGGTAATCAAGATTAATCGAAATTAAATTAAGGGAAATTTACATACATAGCACCTAATTCTTTTGTATTTATATATCTCATATCCAAGCTTTCATATTTACATACATAGCATTTTAGTGCTTTAAATTTATGCATGAAAAGGTTTATTTCACTTTCAAAAATGATAATACTGCTATATTTGATGTGATGTTAAAGATTTAAGTGTTATGTGCGTAAATATGTAAGTTTATGTGTAAGATATGTAAATACATAATGTGTTATGTATGTAAATGCCTCTTAAATTAAACCTCAGTTAACAACATTAGCTTGTCAATGAAAGTCTCTAGGATCTTATCCTAGTCAACATTTGTAATTGCATGGTGTTCAACACTGATTTCTCAAAACTCAAATAGAACAAGAAGGAGATTGCACTACAGGCTCGCGAAGCAAACAAAAAAGATAAACAGGGAGAAGCAAACCGCTCTGCTTCTAATATCTATAAATGGATAAGGAAGTCAGTTCCTAACCATAAGGGATGGATCAATTAAATAGTTCTATGCATTCAATTGGAGCATTCTGTGCACCTTCATGCCAATAAATCAATTAAATTTAGCTTTGTAGTTTTCTTTTTTTTTTTCCTTTCAACCTGGATATACATTATTAATTTTGTGGTTGTATGCATAACTTAAGATATGCAAAATAAATTTAATATAACAAATATTCTATAATGCATTCAATTTTGTCCACACATAAATAAAATAAACACGCTGTTCAATTTATGTTTCATAAATTAGAATTAATAACATTGAAATTTACTAAATGAATTCAAAAATCACCACTCGCAACGAAGAATCCAAAACCAAGAATTCAACATTCTCAGGCTGAAATAGACATCAAACTAAACAACCACCTAAACCAATTCTACATAAATCATCCAAATGACAACTCACCGTGCAGTACACGTAGGAAATCAAATGGCTTGTCTTTACTCATAGTGACTGAAGCAAACGGTTTGGTCTGTTCCAACCCGGAAATGCAAGGTTTACTCCTGTAACAATCTGCAAAATACACTATCAAGGATAAAAAGAACCAATCCGTAACTGGAAATCTACATCAATTGGTTCCTAGGAATCAAGCCCCTTTTGTCTAATAGTAAAAAACATTACATTATTGATCGATTAATACCTAACGAAATGCCAGGAGGTTTCCCAGATTTAGCACCCAGTAAAAGCGGAGCCATCAAATATCCAAAATCTACATATAGAAAGAGAACAAAAAAAAAAAACGAGAAAATAAAGAATTCAAGTAATCTACTAGCTAGATCCTAGGGTTTTCCCCACAGCATCAGCTGCGGAATTCCGAGATATAAAAGATACAGAGCAACTACTAGAAAGTATCAGGTAAAACTGAAGAAGGGTTTACTGAAGTGTGCCAAAGACCAGGCAACGATTCAGATCCAGGAACAAACTTGCATTTTGTAGGAAACGGATCTTATATAATAGAGAACAGAGTTGGTTCCAAATCAAGACAAATTTGGTTCTTGATTCATATGGTTGGATTCTCCTTGGAGAGTATGCTGAGTGGGCATAACGACATTGAATCTATAATACACAATTATGCTTCCGTACGTCCGAACAAGTATAGACAATAGACCTAGATGATGTAGTTATTTAAAGAAAAGGCTTACTCTTCATTGGGGCATTTGCCTACCTACCACATAATTCTTATGTATTTAGTAGACATTCATAGCTGCACCCATACCCCTCAAATCATAAGCTTTACATCAAAAATATCACTATCAATATTTTCTTATGACACCAAAATATTTAATCTAAGGGACCCGATGATATGGATTTTCTTATGACACCAAAATATTTAATCTAAGGGATATGAGAATACATAAAAAATTTCTTATATGTATGTATATTTCCTTTCATTTAAAAATGGCAACTAGGTGAAAATAAAATGTATTTAACCAATCTATATATGAATTTCATGAAGGGTGTTTGATAGTGATGCAATCCCATTGCTTGAATATTAATAATCGATAATTTGATGATACTGGTAACTCCAAAATTAACTAGGGGAGGAACTGAGAAGAGGAACTCAGATTGAGAATGATAAACAACAATTTGATAATGTTGACAACTCCAAAAAACTTAGGTTGGAAGAAAAAAGAAACACATAATCGGGAGAAGCTTACTATATTTTTTCATTTCTTCAATGTGCACCAAATAGAATGATTTATAGTATGAAACATTAATTCTTAGCTAATTGATTTATTATCAAATTAACAATTTTTAATAACCTAACACCAAATATTAAGCATCCCAAATTTGAATTAATACATCATTACCGACCCTCAAAATCGAGCAAATAATAGCAAGCGACAAAAAATAATAATGAATTGACAATTCTAGTTATAAAAAAATTATAGATTTTTTTCTTTTTCAAATTTTTTATTGTGCTGCAAGAAATATAATTACAAGAGTGTGATACCTAAGAGACTTATAGGAGCAAGATTCTGGAAGGCAACTGGACTTGATAGCACTTATACTCGTCTAAAAGAACAAAATGTAATGACTTGAAGAAATCTTTAGTTTTTACAAGGGAAGAGTAGTTAAACGGACAAATCTGACTAGATGATGCATGTGTTTAGGGTTCCATCTTGTGATCTTTTCATTTCCAGAAGACATGTTGAGAAGAACTACATTCCTTAGGGTGTGATGTTTCTTGATCTGAAGAAGTACGAGATTGAAAATACAAGTTAAAGGATGTCAAATTTTGAATTTTGATGCCAAAGACTAAAAATTAAGGCATATTTGGTCGTAAAAATAGAAGTTATGTCCATCATCAACGATATGAATACCGGAGGACAACATATGTGGGCTAATGTTGGCATGAGAGAATGCATTACAATTGTTGTCTCTTCGGACAAAAATTATTGATGAAATTCTTGGAAATAGGTATGGCAGCCAAGAGTTGAATGGAGAAGATGTTCATTGGAGATGTTCTTAGAGATAAGAGAATCAATGAAAAGAAAAATAAGATGAGGGTCAAAGCTTTAGAGATGGGAGGTCTAGATCAATTTGTTAGAAATAGGATGAAATCAGAGAGATCGTGGTCGATGGTTGAAGAAAACTACTGGTGGAGCTAAAAGAGTCTAAGTAGCCTATTGGTTGAAGAATCTAGAAAAAAAATTTGTAATAAAGTGAAAAGATTTGTGGAAATGGATTTTTAGATGGGCGTATGATCTTGGAAAATGAATTGTTGAATCAATAAAAATTGAGATTGTGTGTGTGGATTGAAATGCACACAATATCGATTGGTATGCTTGGAGACAGATCCTCTGAAGATGTGTGAAATAAAAATATTGTTGATGGCGTTGCAAAAACATGAAGGGTAGGAATAAAGAAGAGAAACACATATTGAAAATGTTAATGGAAGATTTGACAATGACATGAGAGAAAGACAATGAGAGCATCATTTGATCTAAAACCATTTCTTAAATCTTGAGAATCGATAATTTGAGGATGTTGATAACTCTAGAAATTGGGTGGGGGAGGAATAAAGAAAAAAACATATTGAGAATTAAATGATAATTCGAGGATGGTGAAAGCTCCAAAAATTATGAGGGGGAAGAGAAAGAAACTTTTTCTTAAATCCAAAATTGAAAACTTCTATTAACCCAAAGCTGAGAATGCATCTAATAAAAAAGTGTGGGACTTTAATGTAAGGCAAAAAAGATTGTCCTCCTCAAGAAAAAAATTAAAGTAAGGAAAAGGATAAGGTATTTGGTCCACAATAATATTCTTAGATGTAGCAGCATTCCTAGCCAATCAATTAGTTGTTGATTGCTCTCTCTAAGTGTATAAGTCCACTTAACCATCTTGTCCCAAGTAAAGTAGAAATCCTTCCCACAAAAGTAGATAAGTACCAAGGGATGACCTTTCCATTCTAATAGTATCCCCAAAGGAGCTGAATCTTGTTCAAAAATGTAATCAATTCCAGCCAAATCTGATAGCAAATTCAATAGTAGCAAGTAAGGTGTTCACTTCAGCTTGGATAACAGTGTTAGCCAACATTGAAATAGAAAAATAAGCCACAATTCCATGTATGATCTCTGAAAAGTCCTCCCGTGCGAGCGCTCTTCTCTAGATAGCCTCCATCCAATTTCGTGATTGCTTCATTTGACAAGTTGTGGAGGTTTTTTGGTTATGTGTTGGCAGTTAATATTGCACCTCTACAATATATCAGTAATTCCCATAATATTTTTCCTCTTCAAAGTCCCAAATTTAACAACTTTAGGTAAGAAATACATAACGAAGATGTAGGTTGTTGAAGGAGTAATAGTTTTAGCCTCATGTTTAAGAGTATTCCTAACAGTACAGAGAAACCACCAAATCGACAGTGGAATGAGAGAAATAAGATGCAAATAGGAAGCCCTTAAGTTTCCATCTAGCCAAGAAATCCTACATATTTGTATAGCCTATGTTAGGAATTGCAATATGGATAAGACATCACATTTTTTGTCAGCCTTTTAATGAGTACCTGTAAGAGAACAAAATTTGATTTGAGAGATACCTCCTCAAATTTGCACATAAGGCAAATGAAGGGGAGTTTTGAACCCTTCAAGTTAAAAATATCATATGTTGGAAACAACCTCTCGAATGTTCTCCAAATAAAAAAGGATTGAGAAGGCATTAAAATATGGTTCCAATTCCATCTCCATTGTACTTTTTAGGACCAATTTTGAAAGTATTGTGAATGGCCTTGGAGGGAGAAATTCCAATTTTTTTCTTAATAATCAATTTATCAATATACCCATTGACTGTGCAATTTACAAATACCTCTACAATCCACTTCAGAAATCATCTATTGTAGTTTCTGAATATCACAATCATTGTCCACTAAATACTCAATCACCCTTAAATTGATATCCCAAGGTCCGTCATAGTAATTAGCAAGAGGCCCTCTAGCATTCCAATTATAATACCAACATCTTACTTACCTTTATCAACCTCCCAAGTGATGAATTTTACAACTTCTTACTTAGCTCCTAGCATGACTTACCATATCACAAAATAAATTTTCTGAATAGATGCAACAATATGGTGTTTAATAGAACTATACATAGATTGCTTCACCTGAGCCTGCAATGTATGTTAGGCTTCACATAACCTTAAATGAATATTCTAAAAGATCTTATGGGTTCACATTTGTCTAAGCAATGTAATCACATGTGATTGAAGGGCCTTCAATAAAATGTTTCATTTATGAGAACATAAGATAGAGCTCTAGATTTCACTTAGTGAGCTACTGATTTATCTTGGGATAATTTGTCTTCTTGCAGATACTTAAAAAAATGACTGTCCAATTAACTAAGCCTTCAGTTGTGGTTACAATGATTTGTTCCTTATGTCAATCAAAGTACTCCATGTCAATTGGAGAAAAGGCCTAACAACCTTGGACTTGAATCAGTATTGATTCCTCTTCCAAGAATATTATCTCATTAGCCAACTTTGCCAAAGTATCCACAATAATTTTACTACCATGAGGTATTCAGTACAAAGTGACACTAGAAATCCATTCAAGTAAGCTCAAATATTGATGAATTCGGGGTTAGAAAATCTTATAGGTCCTAGAAATCTGATTAATCACTAACCGTGAATCTTCGATAACTTTAACCTCTTGAATGTTTGATCCCTCTAACTTGTGTGATCATCTTCACCCCTTTTCGACTCGAAATAATTAATATTTATTATTATTCATTTTATATATTTGTATTTGGGGCATTTTTACATATACAGAACCCAATCAAATAAAAAAAAGCACTATTATCATTTTTTTAAGTGAAATGCACAATTTCATGCATTAGGATTAAAGCACCAAAGTGCTATGTATGTTAATATGAAAGTTTATGTGTGAGAAATGTAAAAACACAAGAATTGTGTGCTACATATGTAAATCTTAAACTAAATATATTTTGCAGTAATAAAAATTTCAAATCTTTTTGGTATTTTTGATATTTTGACAAAACAGTAACAACTTAAAAAGATAACTAGAGTTTTGTAGATGAAAAGCACTTAATAAGAAAATTATCTTTTTATTATCATGAATCAGTAATAAGTATAAGAATTCTGTTGTGGAAGTATGCAAATTGTGTTGTGTCAAATAGGAGCAATAATATTCTTCACCCTTACTAGAGATGCTATAAAGAACATTGGTTAATTTAAAGTTTGAATAGTTCTGAAGACCGGCTAGG